GTACATGGACAGGGGTACGGGGGTAGATAGATGGACAGATGGTGGGTGTGACGGGTACCCCCCAGGTGTTCCACCTGGAATTGAGGTATCACTGAGCCCTGTGACCCACTAGCCTGGGCTCCCTCTCTCACTGTGCTTCTTTGACAAGTTGCAAAGCCCTCCCAGCCGGCCCTCACACCCAGCATTCGCACAGGAAGGGACACATCCAGCTGCAGTTACATGCAGGCTAGGACCCCAGAGCAGTACCGTCCTGCCCTGGTCAAATCTGGCCCGTATATGGGTTTAATACCCAGTCCACCTCTCCCTCAATGTGAAGAGGACCATGCACACTTGTGGCAACCAAGCTGAGATTTTTCCCCAGACACTTTCGTCAAACGTACACTGGTTTGGATTAAAACATAAAATAAGGTTATTAACTACAAAGGGATAGATTCTAAGTGATGATAAGTGAGAGCGAACAGATCAAAGCGGATTGCCTAGTAAATAAACAAAACCGCAAACTGAGCTTAACACACTAGATAGGTAGGATATGAATTAGCAAATTCTCACCCCGAGTGATAAACAGGCTGGCAGATTTTTAAGGCACAAACTGCCTTGGCTTTGCAGGTTTGGGTTTCCCAAGTTTTCATACACAGGCTGGAATCCCTTTCACCTCGGAGCATCACTTCCCCCCTCTTCAGTCTTTGTTCCTCAGGTGTTTCCAGGTGTGATGTTGCAGGGAGACTGAGGTCCCCCCATGATGTCATTTACCCCCTTTGTATTTTCTTCCCACTTGCTGGAAAGCTCTTTTGCTGTGACCTGCGTCAAGCAGTTCCCATTGTGTAGTGCTATCTCTGAGAGGTTTCTATTGTACACAATTGCTGGGGTAATCACTGTGCCTGTGTGCAGTTCCTCAATAAGCCATTAACCTTGTTTGGCCTTTTTACTGTTGTACCTGAAAAGCAGCTTGTGGGTGTTTTCAACCTCACAACATGTTTCAGTAACACCCACGTAGCCAAACTTCATCACTTCACCTACGACGACAGCACATACAATCCAATGCGCTATTACTGTGTAGCAGATCAAGGCTTTTAGAATGATACCTCACAAGGCAGACTTTGCATAAGGCATATCCCTAATTACATGACAGTGGTGAATATTGGGAGGTCAGGAGGTCACAGTGGGGATAAGGCTGAATGGACAGATATGTATAGGGATAGATGGGGGTACTGGGGATGGATAGATGGATAGGCGAGTGGGCTTTGGTGGGTTACAGCAGTGGGGGAGCTAGGAGTCAGAACTCCTGGGAGGGAAGTGGGAACTAGTGGGTTAGAGCAGGGGGGCTGGGAGCCAGGACTCCTGGGTTCTATCCCCAGCTCTGGTAGAAGAGTGGGGTCTAGTGGTCAGAACAGGGGGTGGCTGGGAGCCAGGATTCCTGGGTTCTATCCCCAGATCTGGGAGAGGAGTGGGGTCTAGACAATTAGAGGGGGGAGGGTTGGGAGCCAGGACTCCTGGGTTCTATTCTGGCTTTGGAAGGGAAGTCAGGTTAGGAGTCAGGACTTATTCTGGAAGCTTGCCCCAAAAGAAGGGCCCCTGGATGGAGAGTTTATCCCTCTAATTGGGTGCCTCGCCCTGGTAATTACAGCCTTTCCAGGAAGCTGTTGGGCAAACAAGACCAGCCAGGCAGAATTCCAGCACCCTGGCTCGCCTCTGATCCCCCAGTGAGGCCTTCCCCAACAGATCCACCCCCCCTAGCATCCCTTGGCTCTTTTGCTACCCAGCTGACCCCAACTGCCATGAATGGGGTTTTGGCCTAGGGGATGGTGGAGTTCATTGAAATCCCTGGCAGGAAATGGCAAGGTTTGCAGCATCTCTAAAGGGTGGGGTCAGGGAGAATTAGCTGGGTTTGTCTCCTCTGGGTCTCATGCAACCCAGCTAGGAAGTGGGAATAGAGCCCAAGAGTCCTGGCTCCCAGCCCCCCGCAGCTCTGACCCACTAGACCCCACTTCCCTCCCACACACAGGGATAGAACCTAGTTGTCTTGGCTCAAAGCTCCCCCTGCTCTAACCCACTAGACCCCACTCCCCTCCAGGAGCTGGGGAATTGCTTTAAAAATATCTCTTCTGTTGTTTGCTGGATAGCTGCTTAGATGTCTGAGGGATGTACATTGAGATATTTCTCAGGAGTAATTGGAAGAGCTCTTTCGACCAAGTGATACTTGTGTGTTTAGTTAAATACCTAGCAGAGGACCTCACCCTCCCTGATTGAACTAACCTCGTTATCTCCAGACTGATTCTGGGCTGCATATTTATACCTGCCTCTGGAAATTTCCATTACATGCGTCTGACGAAGTGGGTATTCACCCACGAAAGCTTATGCTCCAATACATCTGTTAGTCTTAAAGGTGCCACAGGACTCTCTGTTGCTAGTTAAATACCTGTTAATAAAAACAACTGGGCATTTTAAACAGTCTGAAAAAAAATCAGTTCTCCTCTAACTTAACTGGGTTTCATATCCTTTGTTCCTGCAAGACTGCAACCCTGTCAGGTTTCCTGTCTTTCACAGAGACTTCCAAATAACCTGCAAGAGTAATCCTGGATTATTGTTACTGCAGAGTACCAGAGTATTATACTGCACGAAAAAATATTATGCTATTCTACAGTAATAACAATAGCAATAATACAGTTAGAGCATTAATACTGCAAGAAAGTACTCTGGTATTTTTGCAGTAATAATAGTAATAATAGATTTAGTGCCTCCTGAAAGTACTCTGGTATTGTCCAGAATGAATATCATTAGACTATTAGTACTGCACAAAGGTACTCTGGTGTTTTCCAATAATAATACAGATAGACTATTAGTAGTGCGCAAAGGCATTCTGGTATTCTCATACTGTTGGTACTGCATAAAAATACTCTCACTGGAGAATAACTGTAAAATACTAAAGGACTTTTGTATCCCTGTTAAGAATATTAAAGTAAGAGTGAGTTTACTGAAGTATTGCTGTAAAGTAGCAGAGCACAGTTTTACAGTACTAACGCTTTACCTGGAATATTACTGTAGTATAACAGTACTTATAATAATGCAACTGGAATATTACTTAAAAATACCAGCGGATTATCTATAACCCTATTAAGAGAAATCCAGCACCAGTGGACTTACTGGTGTTCAGTTATAAAATATCTGAGTCTTTTGTTTCTATGACAAGTACTACAGCTCTTGTGATTCTCCTTTTATGAGTACCACACTAAAGAGTGAGTTTTCTGGAAGTATTGCCTGCATATATTTGTACAGTATCGATAATTTTATTGGACCATTATGGTAGAATACTAAGGTAGATTTTATAGCCTTATTAAGAGGCCTAAGGTGTTTAGCTGAGCATTGTCATAGCATACCAGAGTGATAATATGTATGGTATTAGTATGCATTCTAGTAATGTAACTAGAATATTTCTTATAGAATACCAAAGTATTTTATGCCCTATTAAGTGCACCATGCTGATAGTGAAATTAATAGTGGAATACCAGAGTATTATTGTTCAGTACTATAATAAAGTAATTGGAGTACTGCTCTACAGTACCAGATTGTCTTTAGAGAACCTATAAAGAATACTACAATATTACTGAGCTTTTGTATGGTACCAGTAATCTAACTGGGTATTAAAAGAGTACTTTTGCATGGTACTACAATAACTGGACTATTACTCAGGAATACTGAAGTATATTTTGTCGTCCTATTAAGATTGCTACCAAACTAGTCATCTTACTGGAGGATTACTTTAAAATATCAGAGTATTGTACCTTTTCTGGCCCTGATTATAATACTGGACTGAAGCATACCAGAGTACATTTAAAGATCTAAGAATATTTCAGTACCAGTGAGCTTTCTGGGGTATTACTATAAAATACTAGAGTACACTTTGTAGCCCTATGAGAAGTACCACAGTCCTGGCGATATTACTGGAATATTACTGTAGAATACCAGAATACCTTTTGCAGCTCTGTTTAGTATTATTCTACCAGTGAGATTGCTGGACTAGTAGTATAATATACCAGAGTATCTTTCATGGCTGTGTTAAGAGTACCAAACTCCTGGTAATCTTATTACTTAAAATACCAACGTACTTTGTAGAGACCTATAAACAGTGAAAATACTAATGATCTTACTGGAGTATTCCCATAGAATACAAGAGCACCTTTTGCACCTCTATTGAATATTACTGTATCAGTGAGCGTGCTGGAGTATTACCACAGAATACCAGAGTACTTTTTGTAGTCCTTTTAAGGCTACAATAATATGGGTGATCTAACTAGAGTATTAAAGTAAAACACCAGAATACCAACTGTAGTTCTCCTAAGAGTGCCACAGTTCTGGTTATCTTACTGGAGTATTACAGCACAATAGCAAGGAATTCTTGGTATCTCTATTAAGACCATTTATGTTATCAGTGAGCTTGTTAGGCTATTACTCCAACATACCAGAGCACCTTCGGTAGTCATAATTAGAATACCATAGTGTTAGTATTCTTACTGGAATAGTACTGTAAAATACCAGAATACCTTTTGTAATCTTAATACCACAGCACTAATATTCTTCCCAGAGTACTACTGTAAAAATACCAGAGTACCTTTTGCAGCTCCATCGCATATCACCACACCAGTGAGCTTGCAGGAGCATTACTGTGCTATACCAGAACACCTTCTTTAATACAATAAAATAATAAATAATAATAAATAGTAATTAATACTATCACCGTACTTGTATTCTTACTGGAGTATTACTGTGAAGAACCTCAGCACCTTTTTGCAGCTCCATTTATTAATACTGCACCAGAGGGCCGTGTTATTATTGGCAAGGCATTGCCTGAACCCACAAACTGGGGTCACCCTGGGGTGCCAGCAGCAGCAAAGGAGGGAGTCCAGGGAAGGGGAGCTCCAGAGGAAGGGGGAGGAGCAAGAGAGGAGAATTGAGGGAACAACTGCTGCACATCTGGCAAGCGGCAACAGGGATGCTTGGGAAGAAGGAGGGACATGTGCCAACGTCTGCTGAACCTGTTGGTCAACATTCTAGGCAGACTAACTGGCTGGATATAAACCGCGTTGGGGTGCACACCCTTTCCTGGCTGGGTGCATCGCCCGGTAGCCTGGCTGCCTCTCTCTCTGGGAGCTTTGGAATCCCCTTTGGGTTTAGTGATTGGTGCCTCTAACGAGCAGTATGGAGGAGCGGCAAACCAAGGCCAGCGGGCTGAGCTGGGCAAGGAGAATGGGGTCCCTGATCCTGCACATTGTGCTGATGGGTAAGAGAGTCCATCTGTCTGAGTGATCTGCTTACAGAGAGGGAGTGGGGAGGAGAGAAGCAGGACTCCTGGGTTCTATCTGCCACTCTGGGAGAGGAGTCGAGTCGGGTCTAGTGGGCTGGAGCGGGGGAGCCAGGACTCCTGGGTTCTACCCCTAGCTCTGGGAGGGGAATCTCATGGGCTAGAATTGGGCGGCTGGGAGCCAGGATTCCTGGGTTCTATCCCTGGCTCTGGGAAGGGGAGTGGGGTCTAGTGGTTAGAGGAGGCGGGGGGCTGGGAGGCAGGACTCCTGGGTTCCATTCATAGTTCTGTGAGTCAAGGGTGGGATGTGTCCATTTTATCTAAAGTATTCCCTGCACTGTGGCAAATCTGCAGCTTCCTATTAATTGTTGTTGCTGGTGGAGTTGGTCTAATTAACTTACTGCCTTGGCTGAGGGCTAGCGAGCCAGGGGCCTGGCAATTCTGTTATCCTTCTTCTGACTCTGGGTCAGCATCAATCACTGGTTGCAAAATTACCATCAATTTGCAGGGTCTGGGTTGTTCAAATGTTTTGGTCAAAAAACTGCAAAATGCTGGGTCAAGTAATTTGTGATGGAAAAATCCATGCTTAAAAAAAACTTGTGATCCAAAAATTGCCAAGGTCTGGGTTAAAAAATGCCAAATTCTGGGCAGAAAAAATATTTCCGGAGGAAAAAAACAGAAAAATTTGTGTAAAAAAATATTTTAAAATGCAAAAATCTGGGTTGAAAGATATTTTCGGAGGGGCAAACATTTGCCCAGAAATACTAACATTTGGATAACAACCATTGGGATTGAAAGGGGAACTGGTCAAAAAAAATGGGTGGTTTGGGGAAAAAGCAGTAATTTGTCTAAAAAAAACCTACTAAACTCTGGGTCAAACATTTTGGGGTCAAATGTTTGAGTTGAAAACGTAGCTGGATCCAAATGCCATCCCCTGGGCAAAAAAAGGGATTTTGTGCAAACATGCAACATGCTTTTGGTTAAAATAATGCAAAAACAAAAAAGTGTATTTTTTTATTTTGGCCCAAAAATGGGTTCGATTGTAAGAACTGTCCTAAATCTGTATCCGTAGCAAGCTTGCTCCAGCGTGGCTCTTTTCATACACCATCGAAATCATTTCGTTATTTCTCTGGCCTGTTTCACCTTTTGCTAGCAACCTTCATATTGCGTTTCAAGTCCTCCCTTGTCTATGCAACGCCTCCCTAGTTAGAATCACCTGCAGATTTAAGTCAGACTCTGGTTAAATGCAAACGCTGTGCAGCTGTTTCCCAGCTGCTCCACCCCAGAGGTGGCTGCATTGCGGCCCTGGGCCAGCCATCCTTGTGGGCCTGTTCCCCAGCTGCCCTGCCCGAGATGTGGCTGTCTTTCTCTCAATGTCTGCGTACCCCTCCCCCCATATTTTAAGCCTCTCTCCTAATCAAATGAAGCAGCTGGGACAAACTTTTTAATCCCGTCACATCGGGCACGGCACAGACACACAGGAAGAGATAGTCCCTGCTACAAGCAAAGGACAAGCTACACAGAATCATGCTCCCCATTTTATAGAGGGGGAAACTGAGTCCCAGAGCAAAGCATGGACTTACCCACAGGGAATCTTTAGCAAAACGGGGAATAGAACCCAGGAGTCCTGGCTCCCAGCCCCCACTGTTCTAACCCACTAGACCCAGGGATAGAACCCAGGGAGCCCTGGCTCCCAGCCCCGTCCCCCACCCCTGCTCTGACCACTAGACCCCACTCCTCTCCCAGAGCTGGGGATTGAACCCAGGAGTCCTGACTCACAGCTCCCCCTGCTTTAACCACCAGCCCCCACTTCCCTCCCAGAGCTGGGGAGAGAACCCAGGAGTCCTGGCTCTCAGCCCCCACTCGTTCTAACCCACTAGACCCGGGGATAGAACCAGGACGTCCTGGCTCCCAACTCCCCCTCGCTCTAACCACCAGCCCCCACTTCCCTCCCAGAGCTGGGGAGAGAACCCAGGAGTCCTGACTCTCTCCTGAAGTGCTCCAGAATTATGTGAGGGGAGAAAGTTATCCCGTTGGTCTCTCCTCCATGTCCCTCAGCCAATGCCCGACCTGCCCACACACTCCAGCCGAGCCGTGCCAGGCGAACAGCTCTGCCCGCCAGGACCCCAGCGAGGCCAGGCCTGGAAGATAAGGTGGGCACCGTCTTCCCGAGCGCTCATCCCCCGGCCCCGGGTGCAACCAGCCAGCAGAACTCCATGCCTCAGGGGGAGTTCTACAGCTGGGCTGTTTAATTGGCTAATGAGGGACCGCTGTAATTCTTAACGAGCCACTGCCCGGGCAAGCCTGGCAAAAGGCGACATCATTCATGTGGGCCGTGTGGCTGGAGTAATTGGGTCTCAGGGCGCTGGCATCTGGCTTACACAATGCCAAGGAGTGGGAGGGAGGAGACTTGATGACATGATAGATGGGGGGCAGAGATGGGGGCGGGATACCAGGGTAGATGGGCCGCTGGGTCTGACCTGGGGTGACAGGGGTGGGGGTGGGATCCAGGGTAGATGGGCCTATGGGTCTGACCCGGGGTGACAGGGATGGGGGCGAGATACCAGGATAGATGGGCCTATGGGTCTGATCCAGGGTGACAGGAGTGGAGGCGGGATCCAGGGTAGATGGGCCTATGGGTCTGATCCGGGGTGACAGGGATGGGGGCGGGATCCAGGATAGATGGGCCTATGCGTCTGATCCGGGGTGACAGGGATGGGGGCGGGATC